TCTTTCCGGTACCCAACCCCCTTCTCTTGAAACACTGGTACTCATCTTGAGTTTTTAACTGACTCTTAAGGTTTTTACAGATAATTGCTAACCACACCAGACCAGGGATCTCTTCACTGTTCAAAGTTGACTTCACTCTTCAGAGTTAACTCTGCTTGACCGGGTAGGGAAATTCTCCTTTCACTAGAAGATCTATCCTCTTTCTTTGACTTGAATGGGAGTCCTTGCCTATTTCCCAAACTTCCTTGCCAACTTTCCCCCAGTTCTCCTATCTGTGTTAAACTGCTCTGTCAAGACTGAATACCGAATAAATTTTCCTCCTCAGTATGCAGCTCACAAGTCTTTCTCTGCGCAGCTGTATTCAGCTTTATTCAACAACTCGAACACAACTCCAACATGGATCAACATCTGATAGCCAGAACAGCTTTTACATTGCAGCTGTTCTGCTTTTAAACTCTCCCGGCTAATGTAGCCACACCTACTGTACATTTACCAACCAATAAGGTTGTATGCATTAGGACCAATCATGGACATTCCCGCTCAGGGAGCTTGCTGACAAGTGATTGGTTGGTTCTTCCTGGGCTATCAATGCGATTGGATGGATTTGGATCCTAGCCCAGGATGAAGCTTAACATTGTACTTCAATTAGATGATTCATGCCAGCTATTGAATATATTACACTCACCAATCAGGTTCCTTGGAACAGCCTGTCACTCCAGACTCTTTGGCTTCTGTGAAGAATTAACCCTTCACAGTCCTTCAGCTGTTTGTACAGCAGTTCTAAGCTTTTAAAAAGTGCAGTCGGTCACAGTTCAGTTTAGTCACTTAGATATTCCCCGTTCATTTACATTCTGGGGGGAAATAAAGTTCCAGTAATGTTGAAATCAAAATGAAATAAGATTTTTAAAAGTTTTATCAGACCTAGTATTGGCCTTGCACTATGTCAGAATTTATTTGGACAGATTCCAAGAGCTGTGTCATTCTTTTACATGTACAAGTTTAATTTTATTTTAATTGGCTGTGCTACTCACACTGGTTCCATATTAGACAGTTAAACACAACAAGCGGGTCTTGCAGTGAGTGGGGCGGCAGCGTGGTCCTGAATCCCAAACAGTGAATTGCCACTGGGAAATCAGCCCCATGCGTGCTGTGGCCCCCACCCTGCTTGCAAAAAGACTGTTTAAAGGGTCTTTTTGTGAGCGGAGCTGCAGCTGGAGACGACCCCCTCCCTGCCTGCTGAAAGATTTAAAGGGCCCTCCAGCTGATCAATATGCTGGAGGGGAGGGAGGGGATGGCTGTGGGTGGCTGATGTTTGGGGGCGGGGCTTGGGAGCACCCCCTCCCACCCCCAGAAGGCCCCCCCAAATCCCCCTGCCAGAATGACGAGGGGACCTGGCAACCCTAACAAACTGTTTAAAATAGAGGAGGGGATAACAATCTATCTTTTGTGTAGTAGAGCAAACAACAAACACCCAGTTCTGTTTGGCTAAAAGCCTGCTTACTAACAGTAACTGCAGGGCAGGTAACTTGGCTATTGGAATCAGGAATAACTATACTTAACTAATCTGTTTCTAGAGCTCAAGGCCAGGGTTGTCCTGGCCTGGTTCTGTAGATTCTTAGTAGGCCCTGCACTCCTGCAGGCTGCTAGCAGGGAGACAGAATAGAAGCACTGAGTCCCTCCTACTCTCCTGCTTGCTCTGAGGTCTACTGGGATAGCCTCTTAAAGAGGCAGTACGCAACAGTATCCCCCTCCTCTATTTTATCATCACAGCAACCTCCTGAGGTATGTTAGACTGATAGTGACTGGGCCAAGGTTATGCAGTAACCTTTCACGGCTGACCAGGGTTTAAAAATGGGTTCCCCAGGTTTTAGTGTGATAATCTAGCGACGATACCACATCGACTCTTACCGGTAGCCATATTTGAAGTAGTATTATAAACAGGCTCAACCACATTCTTTGTCTTCCTGTCTCTATGTGTGTGTGTTGCTTTAGGGAATTAGTTGGAGGGGACAAAAAAAGAATGCATTTTTTAAAAATGCAACTGCAAGACATCTCGATCTCATACAAGGTGTTCTACTTTGTAGAAGCAGTCTGAGTGCCAGATGTTGTAAGAGTTGCCAAGGTAAATATTTTTGCTTTCCTGAACACAATACATGCCCCCCCTCTCTCTCTCTGCACAATTAATGCAAAAGGAGCTGTAGACAGGTTTGCATCTGCTCCTAAGGGGCCATGCCTCCTCTCTCCCCTCCCGCCAATTATTTTTCACTGGATTGTTTTAGTTGTTTTTCTTTTTAATGTAACGAATGTGCATATTTTGGCACATTTGGAGTGTGGTGCTTTCTTTTCTGCCATCTGTTCCGCCACCCTCTTGTGACATATACACTCCAGGGAGCGTATGCCAGTCGATGAGGCCCACAAAAATGAAAGTTTATGACTACACTATCAGCAATAGTGCCAAGATGAAATAGTAGAGGTGAAAAACTCAGGCAGAAGAGGAAAGTCTGATTCAAGCATATTTCAGTTAAAGGTAAAGGTTCCCTTGCTTGAAAGCCAGTTGAATCCGACTCTAGGGTTGCGGTGCTCATCTCCGTTTCAAAGTCGAAGAGCCAGCGCTGTCCGAAGACGTTTCTGTTGTCATGTGGCCGGCATGACTAAACACCAAGGTGCACGGAACGCTCTTACCTTCCCACCAAAGTGGTACCTATTTATCTACTTGCAATTTCTTGCTTTTGAACTGCTAGGTTGGCAGGAGCTGGAACTAGAGGATGGGAGCTCACTCTGTCATGCGGCACTCGGGTCTCGAACTGCTGAACTACCGACCTTCCACAGCCTGCAGTTCAGCGTCTTAACCACTTGAGCCACCGCAGCTCCACATATTTCAGTTACTCTCTTATTAATAGCAACTCAGCCAATTATAATGTGTGATCTTCTTGCAAGTGTTCTGTTTCGTTTTCCCCACCCTGTCAGGAATA